ATTGTCTTTTGTAATCACAAAGAAAATCGTAATTCTAATTAAGGTTGGCTATAAAAGGGTTGATTACGTATACAACATTGAAAAGATTGGAGCTAAAGACATGAGAGTGATTATTGATGTGTTTATTAGAAGTTATCAAGAGTCAGCGTTATTGTAGTCCTGTGATTTCCTTTATTCAAAAAGTATTTATAAAAGGTGCATACAGGTAAAGTAATAGGAATCCCCCCTGCTTCTTTTATTTCCCCAAACACTCTCTTTTTCTTGGTCTCAATCTCTTTCTTCCTCCTATCCTTGCTCCTTTTTAATACCTTCATAAATTCTAAGTCATTCTCTCTCCCTCCTCACTCTTACCCTGAATTTTCTTTAGATCTTCATTTTCTAATTCTGCATTTTCATCTTGTAATGTCATTCTCTTTCAGGATTTTTGTCTTCTTAACTCTTTACTTCCGTCATCTCCTATTTTCCCCCTAAACCTCTTTCTAGAAGTATTGTCCCACTTAGCCCCTTCCCCTTTGCTAACTCATTCCATCACTCTCCTTTTATGATTCCACGTAATTCACAAATAAATGAACGACATATGTATGTTGTGAAATAGATATTAAGCACAACTCACAAATCTGCCATTCAATTTCCAAAAAACCAGAGCATTTGGAGTCACCTGAATATCTTTACCAAATCTTGTATTAAACTATTTCTTTATAACAAGTACAATTCAGCATTTAATAATTATTATAATTCCAACATTACTCTCATAATGATCAACTTGAATATTGTTATTAGCAGATTTTCATTATAATGATCTAATGGTTTTAAAATCCATACCTCTCTATTATGCGATTCCTCTCCAATTTAATGAACCAAACATTATAATGATCTGTAGCGATCGTTATCAAAACATGGAGAGAATAGTTAACTTCTACTTGTATATAGGTAATAACTTTATCATACCTCCATAGATAATAACTTTACATACCCTCTATATAGGTAATACCACTAAATATGGTTGTGGCCTAAGATATTAAACATTATAACATACTTGTTTAGTGGTATTACCTATAAAATTATTAAACATACTCTCCAGGTATCCGTACTTCTCTACTATGCGATTTTGTTGGTGAAACATTATATGGCTGTGAGCGCAGTCCCCCAATCGTGGTGATAATTGTCCGTAAATTATGTATATGGTGGTATTGTTACATGTTAATTATGTTTGCGAAGTGTCTAAAGTTTGTATGCATTTTAATTTTTAGAGCATTTTGGAATTACATTCATTTAATTAGAAACAAATTGGTTTAGGTACTAAATTAAAAATTACTCTTTTTCAATTCCATATTCAAATTGAATGACATAATTTCTAACACTAATGAGTATTGATGCAAACTGGCCACAGTAAGAACATACTTAGTAAAAATTATTTTATTATTATGAAGTTAATTCTATTTCAACATCGTCTTAAAATTTATTAGCTTAATTTGGGGATCGCATTGTTTTTTATTTGTATTTCAAGAGTATGTGCTAAATAAAGGAAGTTTTTTAATCACTTGTTATGTTTTATCATTTTGATATGTAATTAGTGAAAAACATGGGCGTGATGTCAGATCAAAATGATGTTAAATCCAAATGATGTCGTGATGTTACTAAAGTGTTGTTTGGTTGCACATAAAAAATGGAGGAATTGAAAATTCCCATGAATTTGGAAATAAGGGACTTGTTTGGTAGACCATAAAAAATGAGAATGTGGGAAGTGTAAAATCATGGGAATTTTCAATGCCCACAAAACATGGGAATTTAATTACCAAGGCCCCCCTTGGTAATTCAAAATTCCCATAATTTGTAAATACCCATATAACAACCAAACAAGTTTAGAGTAAATTCCTAGGAATTTTGATGTTGGAGTTTAATTCCCATGAAATACAAATGCCCATAGGAAATTAATTCCTTTGTCAACCAAACAAGCCCTAAATATTTAAAATCTCACCACCCTATTAAGTAGTCCCTCTCTCTCTATCTCTCTCTCTCCCCCCCCCCCCCCCGTTCTCTTTCTCTAGCATTTAGTAACTCTTTCTCCTTAGCTATTTTCTCTTGTTTTCTTAAATGATTTTTTCTTAAGTGGCCTCTCTTTTTGTTTAGTGATCTTTCTTAAGTGGTCTCTCTTAAATGGTATTCTTAAGTGAACTCTCTATCTATTTCTCAAGTGATCTTTCGTAAGTCCTCTATCTCTCTCTCTCTTAATAAATTTTTCTTAAGAAATTAGCTTTAGAAAATGTAGTTAGCTTAAGTCCATCATTTTAGTAAACAATTTCCTAAGCTAATTACTCTAATTTTTTAAGCGTTCTCTCTCTCTTAATTGATTTTTCTTAACAAATTAGGTTAGAAAACGTAGTTAGCTTAAGTGATCCATCATTTTAGTAAACTATTTCCTAAGCTAATTGTTCTGATTTCGATCTTAAGCGCTCTCTCTATCTCTCGCTCTTTCTCTCCCTATCTTTCTTTACCATTTTAGTAAGTCTCTTCCTAATAAGCTATTTGTGTTTTCCTAAGCTAATTTTCCTTCTTTTCTTACATGATCTTTCTTTAGTGGTCTTTCTCTCTCCCGCAATTTAGTAAAGCCTTTTTCCTAAGCTAATTGCCCTGGTTTTCTTAAATGATATTTCTTAAGTAGTGGTCCCTCTTGCTCTCTTCTAATCTAATTGCCTTTTTTTTTTTTATGTGATCTTTCTTAATTGATGTCTGATTTTCCCTAAGCCAATTGACCTGATTTTCACAAGTGATTTTTTTTAAGTGGTCTTTCTCTCCCTTTTACTCTTTTAAGCTAATTGCCATTATTTTCTTAAGTGCGTTGTGTGATATAATTTCTGTCTCGCATTTTAGTAAGCCTTTTTTCTAAGCCAGTTGCATTTTCCAAGCTAATTTCCCTAACTTTCTTAGGTGATCTTTCTTAAGTGGTCTCTCTTACCCACTTTTTTTTTCTCTCCATCTCCTAATAAGCTATTTGCCCTAATTTTCTTAAGTGATCTTTCTTAAATAGTGGTCTCTTGATTTTCTCAAGTGATCTTTCTTTTCTTAAGTGATCTTTTTTCTTAAGTGATCTTTATTTTCTATAGTGATCTGCGCTATCTCTCTCTCATAAACTTACTCCACTGATTTTCTTAAGTGATCTTTCTTAATAGTTATATGTTTCTCTCTCCTAAACTAATTCCCTAAGTTTCTTAAGTTAATTGCCTTAATTTCTTCAGTAATTTTCTTAAGTGGTCTCTCTCTGTAGCATTTTAGCAAGCCTTTATTTTCCTAAGCTAATTTCGTTTTCCTAATCTAATTGCCTATGTTTCTTAAATGGTCTCTATCTCTCTCGTTTTTCTCTTTCGCTCTCTCTTTCTCTAGCATGTAGTAACTCTTTTTCCTAAGCTAATTTCTCTGATTTTCTTAAGTGATATTTCTTAAGTGGTACGGTCTCTCTCTTTTATTTAAATAATGTTTCTTAAGTGGTCTCTCTCTCTCTTTCTCAAGTGATCTTTCTTAAGAAATTAGCATAAGAAAGTGTAATTAGATTAAGTGGTCTAGCATTTTCTTAAGCTAATTGCTTTGATTTTCTTAAGTGCTCTTTTTCTCTCTCTCTTGAACATTTTAGTTACTCCTTTCCTAATCTAATTGCCCTGATTTTCTTAAGTTATCTTTGTTAAGTGGTTTTTAGCTCTCTTTCTCCTAAGCTTAATTGCCTTAAGAAAGGTCTGGCATTTTCCTAAGCTAATTGCTTTGATTTTCTTAAGTGCGCTCTCTCTCTCTTGAACATTTTAGTTAGTCTTCTCCTAATCTAATTGCCCTGATTTTCTTAAGTTATCTTTGTTAAGTGGTATTTCTCCCTCTTTCTCCTCAGCTTAATTGCCCCGACTCTCTCTCTCACTCCCACCCCCCCCCCCCCAAATATTGCAAACGCATAACATGTGTATCATCCAATAGAGCAACATAATAACTACTCCCTCCGTTTACTTGCTCCATTTCTCCATATGCAGAATTTTAGGAGAAATGGTAGAATATAATATAAATTATGAAGAAAGTGAGATAAAATAAGATAGTTGGAAGGAAAGAGGATATAAAAATATTAAAGTATGATTGTTGAAGGTCCACAATAATAAAAGATATTAGTAAAATATTGTGAAAAGTATTCCAAGTAATAAAATCCAACCGCAAAAGAAAAGTGGAGCAAGTAATAAAATACGGAGGGAGTACATCGTAACTCATATTAACCAAGAAAAATATTCGACGTATCTATTTAAGGTGACATTAATAGGATGGTGTAATAATTATTGTTGTTTAATAATAAGAACTGACCTCCGATCAAAGCAATATGAAGATTATAAAAGCTTATATAGACTATTATATACTGCGTATTAGAAATCAACCTTCGAAATTTAAACCCTCTATAGGTATGTAATCTAGTATAAATTTTGATTGCCAAAATCTAAATTGTAGTCCTACAATAATAATTTCACATCAAACAAATCTATCTGTTTCAAATCTTGTGTTTACAACATTACCTTAATAAAGGCAATGTATACAAAAATTCAATATAAAAAGCTAAACTATATAAATAATAATATTGCAAATATGCAGTATCATAAATCATTGATTTGTCGAACTAAAATATGTTAAAAGCAAACCCATCAAACTATTATTTCATCAATCCATCACCAAAACCTGAAAAATTGGCAAATCTAAAGTGTACTACAATAGAGCTTTTTTCATATTAGTAACAATTATAGATATTGATGAATAAAATACAAAAAGAAATTACATAATACTTTGCTCTTTTTTTTTTCAATGCTGAACATTTTGACTTAATCACTATTCAAATACTTCTCTTTGACAATGTTGTGTAAACTTACATAAAAATACAAATAAGCTTGCATAAAATTATATCAAAATATTAGTAAACTTAAATAAAATACACATTTTTGAAGTTCGAGAAATGGATACTACCTCCGTTACATATTAGTTGCAACTTTGGAATATTTTATGTCTCTCAAATAATACCCCAAAGTTACAACTAATATGTAACGGAGGTAGTATAAGTTTGAAAAATAGCAGACTACCAAGGAGTATGTACAAGTCAGCATAAGTCCATATCAATTGTGTCCATCACCGACTCTTCAGAAGAAGACATCAAGTAAGAGGCAAACCAGTAGAGAGGTTGGGCTAGCAAATAAAAACCGAGTTGCAACCTGCAAAGAATTAAAGCGTTAAAATCGAATCAGGACTCCAAAATGAAGTTTCTAAAGTAGTCATCCTACTCACCCATATTATACAAAAGATTCTAAACTTAATCCTTTAAAAACGACTATGAGATAATGAGAATAATTATCACCTGAACATGCATAACAAACATTCTTGTCAACTGTGCTGCTTCCCCGAATAGATCTTTGTCGTTTACTGATACGCGTTTTACAACGGGGTGGGTGTCCTTGAAGATCTAGCATAAATAGTTATCATTGTCTAAGGTTAATTACATCATATTACATACTATTCAAAATATTTAGTCTTATAAGACGGGTGATATATATATGGATAAAAAGCAATTAATAAGCAATTAATAAAAGGGAGATCAAGCAAATTGTAATACCCATTTTATCAATTCCTTATCACTGCGCACAAGCACTTTGTGTCCACCAAAACCACGTAATGTTGTGCAACACCTGTATAAAGTAGATAGGCTAGTAAGGCGGCCGGTAGAAAGAAAAAAAAAAACCAATGTTTGAAAGAATTTAAAGCAACTTGCAATCTGAAATTACAATGAGTGAACAAGCAACAAAACTACATAAACCTTTAAAGGTCACCCAATTTATAAGATATACGTAATACAATTACACCAAATTACAACAGTATAACTTTCAATATCCAAAAAACTCAATACAATACTCCCTCCATACTCAAATTACTTCTATGGGTTTGTGACAAGAAAAGAAGAGGACAAGCTAAAACTACTCCAATTTCTTAGATTTCTACATTCTCCAAATTAGTTTACAGTTGTGAGAAGAAGCAATTTCATAGCATTTCCAATTTGTCAAATTACTATCTTCATATCAATTCATGCTATAATACCACCAGACTGTATCATGTCTTGCTTACTTCTGAATCACCTAGCTTATCTTCTGTCCATTATATGTTGGTACTTGATTACAAGCTCGTGCAAGAATTTAAAAAGGAATGAAAATTCAAGAGGATGAGCTTACATGATAGCAGAAGCATAGCACATCTTATTTAGGCAATGAAATATTTGAGCAAATTTTCAAGTAAGCTCAATTGTGGCCATAGATAGATATAACACCAAGTTTTGACGCAACCCTTAATGTTGACAGACATGTCTTCTCCTTTCAGAATAAGGAAGTATCAAGCTCAAGTTGGGCCTAACCTATTTGGGATTGAGGATGTCTTTTTCATTATTGGGCATTTTGCTTATATTCGTTTCAAAGCTAGCTAGCTGGCCCTAACATTTCGTCATTACTCTGACTCAGTTTGGATGCGTGTACCCAACTTCAGTAACATACCTTTACCAGGCTTCACTTAAACCCATAGACTAAATAGTACGAGTAAATACAAACACTACAAAGTATGTTGTTTTATTTATGATCTATAATTTTGGGCTGGATTTATATTCATATTTTTTTTCCTATTTTAAAATCTAACAAGTAGTACTTTCAAAGTAAATAGTCTATATATAGTTTTTATTTTTTGTTTTTTTTTTTTTTTTGGTTATAAGACTTGTACTCCATTAACATTCGGTACTATTACTTTTTTTTTTCAAACTATTTTTTCTTTTTTTTGGAAGACAAAATCAATATTATAATCATATAGAATCGTTTTAAAATGTTTAAAACAAGAATGAAAAGGGATTTTAAATAACCTAAATGTATATATTACATTATTTTTCAAACCAAATGTAAATTTAAGAGTAAACTATCATGTAGAAAAAGTACACTTTAAGAAAAGGACATGTTGTAAGTACATTGTATATCTTTCTCAAAAAATAAAAAAAATAAAAAAACCATAGCAATTGAATTTAGAAACATCATATCTAATATAGTCTAAATAGTCAACTTTTGTACTTGTAGGCTTGTAGCTCTTTAGTTGACTTCCAATATATCTTAGAAACTACTCGTAGTTGTTTGACTGGCATAACAACAAAGTACAGGAAATGTAGATTCAAGGAATCGAACCAAACCACTTGACTTTGGTGGTCAAGCCTCACTAATTTTAACAAAAAAAGATTGTAGAGAAATGTGACAGTCTTTGGGAAGATATTCTAATTTTAACAAACTAATTCATAACCTAAGACCCAAGTTAACCAACTCTCATAGGAAGACAACCTTAGGCTACCTAGTTTGTTTGTTTGCCCAACTTATAGTATTGCCGGGCCTATTTAATCCACAGTATGTACATCCTAACTATTAGCCAACAATAAAGATACAGAATTCAATATTTAAGTAATTTCTCTTAAGGGGAATTTGAATGAACATCTCTCACAGAGAACTGTTAATAAAGATACAAATTCTACCTCAATTATCAAAAGAGAACAATGGGAATCAAGTAATATTATGTTCAAAATCATCAACATCTCCAATCCCAAATGTTAGAGCACACACTCAAATGAAACCATTAGGGCTATAGGGGTAAATAAAGTTAAGTACTTGAGCTAGAACATAACCTGCATGTCACACACACTCATGCACAAGCAAAGAGAGTTTATCATCATATGATAACAGTTAAGTTACACAAACTAAATCCTTAGATTTAGGCATATATCACTATGGAGAACATTGGCTGGTAGACAACAAAAAAATTACACCCTGCACACACAAACACACATACTTGTCCTCCCAAATTTAAATTTCAGAAAAGGTAGGGAGTAATATAATAAGATCTATAGCCAAAGAAAAGAATTTATAATAAGAGAGAAACCTTAGCCTTGACAAACTGATTCAAGTTGCAAAGTTCAATATACACACCAAATAGTTTGCAAAGAGAAAACTACAGAACTGCTAAAGTTTTTACCCGGGAAATAAAATTAAGCATGCATATCATAATTTATTTTCCTATCCACATTTATCCAACAAATTACATGTTCAAACCAGGAAACTCATCTATTCTTTTAAATTATAGATAAAGATATCCGGAAAAGAGTCCATACAATCCAATTTACAGTAGAGGGAAAGAAGAGATTAAAAAAGAAAGAAGCTAGCATTGGTGTCATATGCAAGTGGCCAACAATAGAAGAGTCTAAACGCAATCGTCTATATCATATCTATGTGACGAATGGAGAAACACCAATACCCATTTTTAAATGAATTAATTAGGTCTGTCCATCTATCAAGGTGGAATTCACCATCTTTTGCATATTGTAGAACCACTACGGCTAAAACCCTAAGAACAAGATTATGTTTTTGTCACGGTAACAATATCAAAGACCCACATTGAAACCAAATTCCTAAATCCCACAACAGTGATGAGATTCTAATCACATGAAAGAAGAATATAAAAGTATAAACATATACTTTAAAATGAACATACAAATATACAAAACTCAAAAATTGAAACTATATCATACAATTGTTAGTTATCATTTATAACACCAAATGTGAGCTCAAACAGATCTGCAAACTCGTAATAGCTAACAATCCAAACAACCTTTACAATACTACAAGTTCATAATAGCTGTCTGGCATAACTATAGTCATACTTAGTGAAATAGTAAAGCTGTGAGCATGAAGAATGCGTCTTCAGGTTTTCCAATATCAATATGATTTCCAATATAAATGACATGTTGCATGATACTACTCCTATAAATTAACATTTTTTTTTTGTCCCCTGTGAAAATCTAATGTTTCTCTCAATATGAAATGGTCAAAGTGTCATCGCATTATTTGATCTTGAGCAACTACAAGTACCCTTCATATATGATTTACTTATATCTCTCATTTTCTATAATGTTGGTATATAAAAAAATTCCCACAACTCTCAGTCAACTACAACATAATTCCAATTTCCCAAACCCGCAAGTCAACAATTTCACAGAAGATTCCCTAGCATATTTCAGTCAAATGATCAATTGAAAACCATAAACCATGTCTCTTGTTTTCCTTCTCATAGAACACCACTCGATTCTTGAAAACAGAATCCTGAAGTATCAAAGAACATCAATAACTGCAAAAGGTTTTACCAGCAAGGGTATCAATGATTATAGTTTATAACACTCCATAAGAGTGCCAAAACACAGTTCACAATCTTAACGATTCTGTAAAACCAAACAAGCATTCAGAAACTCTTTAGTTAGCAGCACCTCAACTCTGAAAAATGGTCACACAAAAATTCTAGTCAATCCAATGTGCCAGCACTAAAATGAGCATTATACATATGATTCCTGAAATTTTAGCATTACAGATTTCAAAGCACCTTAATTATACTTCAGAGCGATATTTTTGTAGCCAAGTGGGTCTTTCTATTATACTACACAAAGGATCCAAATCTTAAAATGGCAAGTAACAAACAGAAATGTGAGCAACTCCAACATCAGCTTATCGATACAGGAGTAAAAAGTAAACTGTCAGAAAAGGAGTAATTCATACATCAACCATGCACATAAATCACAATATGCTTGTAAAGATCAGATATCATACACTTGAAGCAAATGCATGCAAAAATAAGGAAAAACTAAAATACCAATTGCATAGGTGTTCAGTTGATACCTCTTTAGTGCCAATCAAGAGTTGTTCCGATTATAAATTGTTTGCATAAAGAAAGGTATTCACAACCATGTGTATTATCACAAGAAAAAAAAAAAAAAAGAAGAAGAAAAATGGGAGATTAAGCTATATAGCTTAAAAGCTCCCTTAAATAGCACATAGCTCTACCAACAACATGAATTTGATAATTTTTTTTTAAAAAAAATACAAAAATAAAAACCAAATTCAAACCTGAAATAGGGCTTTGCATAAAGAAATCTTCCTCAAGATCTAGTGGACCATAACGATGAAATTTTCTGTACCACTGCCCATAATGGAGATAGGAACCTCCAAATAAAAGTCACATTATGCCTACACTCTGTAGATATTCTACAGCTTCTTTTCTAAGGGCTGGTTTCTAAAGCTTAGCTTCATATCCCCAAAAATATTCAAATAAATCAGTTCACTCAATTTATAACACAATCAGGCGGTTCTGGTGTTGTGCCTGACAAATTTTCACATAATACTTTGTTTGTCCCTATTTGTAAAGGAGTCAAGAAGTCATCTCACTCATCCAAGAGTAGGTGATCTAAGCTAAAAAATTTGTCTACGAAATTCTGAAAGTAAGCAAAACTTACAAGTGATACACCCAAATTTGCAAATAATATTCAGAATTCACTATTACAGTTCTACATCATCATAACACTGTCACATCAGTTTTAAAACAACAAGAGCATACAATTCTACATCATCATAACACGTCACATCGACCACCGGGAAACCGTATGCATCACCAATTTATAATCTATCACTATTACAATTATCAATCACTGAACATAAAATCAAGCAGAAAAACGAATTACCTTGTCATTACCCAGACAGTCACAGTACTTGAGCTTCTCCACATAGATGTAATCCCCATTACTCACCTCAAATTGATGCAGTCCCACCTAAATCCCAAAACAAAGTAAGAACCCCAATTAAACCCTAAAATCAAAACACACCAAATTTCAAACAAAAAGTACAAAATCATCAAAGGAGCCCCAAAAACCACAAAATAATCTAAGGAGACCTAAACACCACACTAAATTCTTGTCGCCTCAGAATATCAAAGTAAATTATACATATCAAAATTACAGCATCAAAATTGACCTTTAAAATTTCTAATAGCTTCACTAATTGTAGCCATAGTTCAATAATCTAGCATAGAACAACGAAAAGTTGACTTACCTCACAATTAACTTAACGATAAACCCAAAAGAGAAATTGATATTCGATGGTTTTGAAAAAAGTATCAGCATAAGCTGCTTCAATATAATGGAGGAAAGAGAGTTTCAAGCTAATGGAGAATTAATTCTCTGCCTTCTTCACCTCGTAGACAAAAAATTAGGATTCTATCAACACCAAGAATAATTTCACAACGAAACAAAAAAAATTCCATCCTTATTACATCAAAAATCCAAGAAAAGAGGAAATTCACAACTAAATAAGCAAAAGATCAAACCCTTCTCCCCAAAAAACAATAAACCCTAAAACAATCGCATCAAAATTAACTCTTCCTTCCAATTCAAATTAGGGCTAAGTACCTGCATATTATACAGATTATATTCGACCATCATCATTTTCCCTTGCATCAACCCGCGCCGTAACTTCAACTGTACCCGCAGACACGCGTGAACCACCATATCCAATCGAGGGCCAAGATCTTCACCTTCAACCTGCTTTAATTCTGAAAAAAGAAAGGTGAAAGATGGAGCTTAGACATTGGGAGTGGAGGCCATGGATCCGGTCCTGTGATGTTAGATGGCAGAACCGTAAAACAGACCCAGTTGGAGGGTAGTATCGTCCGCGCACTGGCCTACTGTTCATAAAGAACAGTGCCGGTGCTCACTTTTTAAATAGCGTAGATATAATTAATCATAACTTTTAATAAATATCTTATAACTTGGTAATATTTTCATCATAAAATTAGTAAATAATAGAAAATCAGTGAAAATAAGTTTTAATAAGGAAAAAAAATTAGTTTTAGTAAAAATACTTTCAGTTTAATAAAATATAATTTCAGTTCAGTATGTCTAAATATTATGCATTATCAAAAGAGATTATATAACCGTGTTTAACATTCAATCCAAAAAGTTTATCTTAAAATTTTATCAATCTTTTGGGCATCGCCCGGCCACAAAACTAGTCACTAATATATAAAGCCGGTCTCTCAGCTAAGCCATGAGACATCGACACTTGGCATTCCACTTTTTCGCCAAGTGTTGAACTACGTAGGCGACAAATAGGTATTATTGTGACACACAGGATGCTAAGTAGACGAATTTTAGATATATTTTTTTTAAAATAAAAATGTTGTATAATGTTTTATTATCGATATACTTCTAATATTTCATATATACAAAATTAATTATAACTTTAACAAATATCTTATAACTCATTACTATTTCCATCGTAAAATCCGTTTTAAAAAGTTTTTTAAAAGGAGATCCATTTATAATATATTTTAATAAAAACTAGAAAATCAGTAGAAATAAGTTTTAATCAGAAAAAAATAATTTTAGTTTGGTAAAAATACTTTCACTTCATTAGAAATAATTTAAGTATAATAAAAAATACCAAGTTAATATAACATAGGTATATATCTATTTACAAATAAAACTACAAAAAGTACTCTATTATATAAATAAGTGTTATGATATCGTATGTCTAAATATTTTACATAATAACATGAAGTTTAGGACAATCCGGGGCATCGCCATGGCACAAAACTAGTCACTAATAAATAAAGCCGGTCTCGCAGCCAGGCCACGAGACATCGACACTTGGCATTTTAGTTTTCCGCCAAGTGTCACGCCAGGTAGGTTAAAAGTAGGTATTATTGTGTCACATATGATGCTAAGTAAGCGAATTTTGGATAGATTTTTTAAGATAAAATTGTTGTATAGAGTTTAATTGTCGATATACTTTTAATATTTCATATATACAAAATTAATCATAACTTTTAATAAAAATCTAATAATTCAGTTTTATTTCCGTCATAAAATTCGTTTTAAAAAGTTCTTTAAAATAAGATCCATTTATAATATATTTAAAATAATAGAGAATTAGTAAAATAAGTTTTAATTGGTAAAAATACTTTCAGTTTAATAAAAATAATTTAAGTATGATATAGCATGTCTAAATATCCTGCATTATCAAAAGTGAATATATAACCGTATTTAACATTCAAGCCAAAAGGTTTATCCTAAAATTCAATAAATAACCTAGGCATCGCCTAGGGCAGAAAACTAGTAACTAATATATAAAGCTAAACTTTTAGCCAGGTCACGATACATCGACACTTGGCGTCTCAACTTTTTGCCAAGTGTGTGTTGGGTTTCGTAGTGTCCAACACTACGCGGAATGAAACCCTCCCAAAATCCGCACACAAATTAAAATAACTAAACATGCATATTAATTGATAATTACATAAGTAATTAACAAGGAGAGAGAAAGAAGATGATCTAACCCATGCCACGTGCTTCGCTCTTTCTAAGAGCTCGTACTTGAAAGCATTAAGCTCCGCAAATGCGCAAGCCTCCAACGGCTCTCACCCTCGAGACCCGACCCGAACTGTCCCTACCCCGAAGCTTAGTTGGGGCTAGACCAAAAGAACTTAGAGTATTAGAACTAAGGTTTCTCTTCTTGGAGATCCCTTAAAGTTCACAACTTAAGTGTCCTTTCCCAATCCCAAATGATTGGTATTTATAGGGAAGGAAGCTCTTGAATTCCAATCTCCCATCAATGTGGGAGAGTTGGTAAAATGCACTTTATTCAATTTATTTTAATTCAAAAATCAAATTGAAATGCAAGTGAATCAACAAACGCCAAGTGTCAAGAGGTGAGCATGGGGTTAGGTAAGGACCACAAGGGGGGGTCATCCTCCCTTTGCTCCCCAAGCAACCCACCCAAAAACCGGGCTCCCCACGCATGAGCTGGCACACGCACATGCTGGCTGGCAGCCTGCCTTGGTTGCTAAGGCAGCCTCGCTGGCGCCTAGCACCATGGCTAGGCCTGCCAGCCAGCTCGCATATGCCTACGCACAACCAGCAGGCCACGCACGCGCATGCGGGTTGCTGTTGTTGCTGCGTTGCTTATGCTTGTGCTAGGCGCTGCCCAGCACGCAAGCACGCATAGCGTGATGTTGCTGCTGATGCGATGCTCGTGCTAGGCACAACCTAGCTGCTGCTATGCTTGCGGCTGGGTGCGAGGCCCAGCACACTAGCACGCTAGCACGCATGGTGCGCCAGCTGCTAGCATGCGTGCGACTAGGTGCACCAGCCCCGCAAGCATGCTCGGCCAGCAAGCCTAGCACGCACATGCATGCTTGGCTTGCGGCACAGCCATGCGATGCGGTTGGTGCCCTATGCTAGCCTAGCCTTCGCATGGCTAGGCTAATGCGAGGCTACGGCTTAGCTTGAACTTATCGTATGCTTGATTTCTCGTCTCGTCGAATTCTAAATTCGACTCGACTTACGACGCTCGATTTTAACGCTCTAAGCTCGATATCTAATGTCTTTGTTCGTAATACTCTAATGACTCATCTAATCCTTCGGATTAATTCGTCGTTTCAGTTCGGTCACTCGATACGGGTGTGACCCAAAGGGTTCGGTCAAGATTAAGCTGTAATATTAATTATACATTAATATTACTGATCAGAAGTGGCCTCCAGCTAGGCATTTCGATCACTTGTCCTTACTGAATAATTAGCTTTCTAATAATTCTGAACCCTTTATCGGAATAATACACTTGTTCGAAAAACACTATTCCTTTCAATCTCCCACTTGTCCTTCCGAACCAGTTTGCAGTTAGTGTATAGCCCATTTCCTATGTCACTTAATGTCTCTTCATGAACTATAAGGTAAGATTCTTCGTCATCCTTATTACGTCCAGAAGTGTTTCTCGAATTTCGAGTTCGACTGTCAATAAGCAGATGATTTCTAAAATCCATCTGAGCACGGCCATGCATTTTCACAGTCTCGCTCTTCGAGAGGCCTTGTAAACAACAAATACATGTTCCTTATTGTCAATAGGGGGACATTCCCAGTCTTGTATTGTTAGCTTCCCTTACTAAGAGGACCTAGCCGCCCGAGTGTTGCCGTTATAATTCTCATTTACGGTATACGTTTGACAACATCAACACGGACTAGTACTCAAATAAGAGAACTTACAAACTCATGGTAGAGGAAAAAGGTTCCGATAGCTATAATGAGAAATATACTTATGACGATTTTAAATCTCTTAAAGTATTCTCATAGGTCGATCCAGTATAGTTCCAAACTAATACCTGTGCAAATGATTGATGACGATCATGTCCTTGTAATACAAGAAACGGTGCTATAAACCATACTACACACTAATCTCAAGTGGTCATTAATCGTCCATCATTTAAATGACCTCGATTAGAATATTTAATGTTCACTTAATAGGTGTTTCTTTATTCAAGACATTGTCTTGATACCCTATTTTAAATATTCTCAGAAATCGGATGGACTCATTATTTAATTCTAAACCACAATTAAATAGAAACGAAGTGATAATAATTTTGCAGAAAATTAAATTACTCCAAAAACGAATGGTTCAACATAGTGTTTTACAATATAATCCTCAAATTTAATTAAAACACCTGAACATGGAAATCAAAGCCAATTTCCAACGTGCTTGATTCCCATTGCCTCAACGTGCTTGTTGTGCTTCACTTGAGGCAAAGGTTTAGTGAGTGGATCAGCTACATTGTCGTCCGTTCCAATCTTACAAATTTTGATTTCACCCTCGGACTTCCATTCCCTTATCATGTGAAATCTCCTCTTGACATGTTCGACCTTCTGATGTTCCCTTGGCTCCTTGGCCTGAGCAATAGCTCCATTGTTATCACAGTAGAGGTCCAGCGGACCTTTGATTGAGGGTACAACATCAAGTTCACCAATGAACTTACGAATCCAGACTGCCTCCTTAGCTGCTTCTGAAGCTGCCAAGTATTCGGCTTTAGTTGTAGAATCTGCAGTTGTGCTTTGCTTAACACTCTTCCAACTAAACGCTCCTCAATTTAGACAGAATATGTACCCTGACTGCGACTTGGAGTCGTCTCTGTCAGTCTTGAAGCTTGCGTCGTTGTAACCTTCAACAACCAAATCATTACTTCCACCATAGACCAGGAATTTATCCTTGTTTCTTTTCTGGTACTTTAGGATATTCTTTGCTGCAGTCCAATGCTCCTCTCCTGGGTCTAATTGGTATCGGCTCGTAGCACTCAAGGCATACGATACATCCGGCCTAGTACATAGCATACATGATCGATCCAATAAGCGAAGCATATGGAATCTGATTCATCCTCTCTCGCTCATTAGGTGTCTGTGGACACTGCTTCTTGCTGAGAGTTATACCATGTGACATGGGTAGGTGCCCTCTCTTAGCCCCTTCCATGTTGAATCGTGCCAGTACCTTATCAATATAAGTACTTTGGCTCAATCCAATCGTCCTTTTAGATCTATCTCAATAGATCTTAATGCCCAATATATATTGTGCCTCTCCCAAGCCTTTCATTGAAAAACACTTTCCAAGCCAAGTCTGTACAGACTCCAACATTGGAATGTTGTTTCCAATGAGCAATATGTCATTGACATATAAGACGAGGAATGCGATGTCACTCCCACTGACCTTCTTGTAAACACAAGATTCATCTGGATTCTTGATAAAATCAAACTTACTAATGGCTTCATCGAATCGTAGATTCCAACTTCTGCTTGCCTGCTTTAATCCATAAATGGACTTCTTAAGATTGCATACCTTCCCAGCATTGCTTGGATCAACAAAACCTTTTGGC